AGGATAAAAACACTGACTTGTACATCGGCTGGCCCCGCAAGTCATTGTATAGGCCACATCGCATTCAAACGCCACTACGAATGTACAAAGTAGAATGCGTGCCGCATCCCAAGACGGGATTGATCAACGGCAAAAGCTTTATCCTTTTATCCTCTTCCTAAATGAAGGTCACGAAGTCAAACTACTCGAAATACCTCAAGCAAGCTTCACTTAAAAGCTCGAATAAAGGTCCGCGACTGAAGAAGTTGAAGCTGCTTCGGTGTAATGGAGACAAAAATGCAGGACAGCTGGCGTCGCAGGTTTGAAACCGATTCGCAGTGATGCAGAACTATCACCTTCAGCGTAGCTGCTAATGCTGGAAAAATGGGCCTGCGGGCCCTTTGCCGGTCCTTTAGACCACCTCAGTTTGGTCTATTGCCTGCGCTCTCTTGAATAAACAGCTGCTATTGACTACTGTGGTCTCACACATTCAAACTTTGCCCACACTGCAATGGCTCACCCATCCCGGAGTCCTCCTTCCATCCAAGTCTTGGTATTTGGACTCCCACTTCCTCCGAGGGATTCGGATCGTATCCAGGCGCAGTGCTCTCATCGTCCGTGCACTAGCCATTCGCGGCAGGACCATTGAGGAAAGTTCAAGCACTGACGAAACCGAAGTAAAAATGCGCATAGCTATTCTTTGATGATGCTGTAACGTCCTTCGTGCGAATGGTGAGAGCGTCTATAGAACGTTTTAGATCCAATGAACCACAGGGCCCCTTGGAAAGTTGGTTTCTGAAGTATAATCCTACTATATATAATTCGCTAAGTATGTCTGTGTGTGTGTGTGTGTGTCACGAAATTCATAGCGCGCGTCGCAGCAGTCACAGGAGTTGATTTCAGATATGATATAGGGGGTGGGACGGGAACATATTTGGTGGGGGTCAGAAAGTGATAACGACTGATAAGGCTGATAAGAGGCGTTGGAACGCAAATGTCACGAAATTCACAGCGCAAGGCCCAGCAGCATTGAGGCGTTGTTTTGCAGATATGATATAGGGGGTGGGACGGGAACATATTTGATGGGGACCAGAAAGTGATAACAGCTGATAGGGCTGATAAGGAGCGTTGGAAGGCAAATGTCACTGAAGTTCTTATCCAGATGTGGGATAAGAAAACATCATTTCTTCGCGATGTAGTCGTGATCCATTCGACCGCTAATCTGCCGAGCTTCTTAAATGGTCGGCGTCTGTGGAAATACGATAACTATTGGTATTTCTATCTCATCACCGGCATAAGAAGTTATTCGACCGCTAAACCATCCCAATATCCAAAGCATGGTAGATGTTTACGCTGAGGGCTGATAATAAGCAGCCCAAGTAATTGTATTAGTTATCCAAAGGTCATTCGGCTGCTAGACTTTGTTAGTTCCAGAAAAATGATGGATGTTTATTGGTATTGGCGAATTATAAGAAACCAGGTTTGCTCCGCCCGCTATCGCGCGCATCACAGGGTAGGGAGGAACCACGGAATAGCAGCATGACGTACTCCATTAACCACCTCACTATTGAATGTGTTATACCTCCTTATACCCCTTCTCTCCGGCGCATAGCAGCGCCATGTTCCTCCCTTTCTCCTCCCCCTTCTTTCTCTCCCTTCCTCCTTTCCTGCCCCCTTCCCTCTATCCCTCTGCATCCTCCACCCCCCCCCCGCTCATCCGGCTGCCACGGCAGCACCATGTAGAATGAGACTGGTGTGCGGTGTTTATATAGCCGCTGGTGTTATCATGATCATGACATCAACATCACAAAGTGTTGCCCTTCGTACTCCCTGGTTTTGTGAGCGGTCGGTCCGGACGGACAGAACGACACATGCACACACACACACCCAAAGTTCTGGTTTATATAATGAAGTGATTACTGCTTTATCATCTGATTTCCTTATACCATCAGTCAAATCCATTGAAAGCAGTATGTTACTCAATACAATAGCCCGGCTATACTCAGTTTCACTGAAGCCTATGTTGACATGCGCGTGATAGCAGGCGGAGCAAAACTGGTCTGTCAAAATCATCTTATCTTGCAACAAAAAATGTCTGAATTGAAGCTGCTCCAATTTTCTCCTTTGCATGCTTGGACTACCGACCTTATTACAATAGACATCATGACTAATGAGAATTAAACCGATTGAGCAATTTCAACGGTCTTCAGTACGCTTTCAAATCAAAATTGCTCAGTGTTCCAATTTTGCCCACGCTTTCATAATCCATTTGGAGTACACAATAAGTATTTCGTTGTGTTCTAAATTGTTATCAACCTTTCCCACGTTGAACATTTCGTTAAGGGCCTACGAATGAGCGGCAACAAGCTGTTGTGGACGCTTTCAAGCACGCTTGGAAAGGATATCGTAAATATGCCTGGGGCCATGACCAGTTGAAACCAATCAGCGGTGGCTATTCGGACTGGTTCGACACTGGTTTAACAATTGTGGACGCCCTCGATACAGCTATTATAATGGGGCTCAAAGAAGGTATGGTATTGAACCTCAACACCTCTTCATCGTTGTTACGACGAAAATGTGATTGGTTTCAGAAGTTGCTCAAGGGACCGAGTGGATTCGAAATTCCCTTACATTCGAGAAAGATCGCTATGTCAATCTTTTCGAAACAACGATTCGCACACTGGGCGGTCTTTTGAGCGCATATCACCTCACCGGTGACACGGTTTGTCATTTGTGAACATATACTGCTGCATATCCCTTCCCTGTTCTTGATTTTACACTCATATTACTTATAATTAAATGATCACCATTCAGATGTTTGTTACGAAGGCGCAAGATCTGGCCGATCGATTGATGGGTGCTTTCACTAAGTCAAAATCTGCCATTCCTTTGAGTGATGTAAATCTGAAAACAAGGTATGAAGAATATACACACATCAACACCTTGAAGTTCAGTCTTCTGGGGCTGCCACTTTCTCTAAGCTTTGGCGCCGGTAGAGTTCAGGTCTTAAAAGCATGAAATAGGGCTAACAGAAGATGTATGCTTGTTCGTACTATATATCTTGTTTTAGTTTAGTTAAGAAATTGAAGCGTAAAGACTTACGTAGCTCTAGGAGTTATTTACCTGAAATCCTACTTGTGAGTTTTTTTTTCAGCAAAGCGAAGGCTCCTTCCTGGTTGGGAGAATCATCATTGTCTGAAGTCACATCGCTACAGCTTGAATTTCGTGACCTTTCTAGAGTAACTGGAAAGAAAGTCTATGAGGTACAGTGATCAGTGAATCAGGATCTTTGTGCCCTTGTCAATATCATTATGTTCCCTTTAGGAAATCGCATTCAAAACTTCGAAGCACATCCACAAAATCGGCTGTAAGGATCACGATGGTCTTTGCGATATGTTCTTGAACTCAAATACAGGACAGTTCCGAACAGGTCACTCATTCACTAGGTTGAAAATGAAAGGATCTGTTTATACAGATTAAGTTTTAGGTGCGTCCACAATCACATTCGGCGCACGTGCTGACAGCTATTATGAATACCTTTTCAAGCAGTGGTTGCAAACTGGCAAGACTATTGATTGGTTAGTTGTTTTTTCCTATCCTGCATTTTCGATTTATTGCAGTTATCTCCGAGCAATACAAGTACTAAATAATTTTATTTTCATATTTACAGCTTCTAATTACTTTCTTTCCGCAATTCGCTGGTGGTTCCTATGGTTACTATTTTTTATACTTAATCTACTCAAAATGGTACTGTTTTATAGCTAAGGGAGCCTAAATGGAAGTTTGATAACACTGTACTGAACTACTGGAATTACTACTAAATTACTATTAATCCTTTTTTGGCAATCCTGAGATCTTTTAGGGTTTTATTTACCATTTTTTAGTGAGGTTTCAAAATCACCTGGTTCATTTCAGGTTGTTCGATGATTACAAAACTGCTATGGAGTCCATGAAATCGAAATTGTATAGATACTCAGAGCCGAATCAACTAGGCTTTGTCGGCGAATTGCTCCCAGGAGAAATCTTCTCTCCAAAAATGGTAAGTACCATCAAGTTGTTTGGTAAGAAATTTATTCAAATGATTTTTTCCTTTAAAATCCTGGCCGGGTCTATTCCAGTTAGGGGGCATCATGATGCAGTTTTCCAGAAAGCTAAGGTAACTCCGAGCCAGGGGGAGTGTAGCCAGTCTAGGGGGTGGGGGTGAGGGCAGTCACTTGACATGCGTGAAAAGCTGGAATGTTCGAGTTCACACTAGTTCGCCGAGAAACTGCATCATGATGCCCCCTAACTGGAATAGACCCTTCTGCCCTTTTTATCACTATTCGTAGAGGATTTATCTGTTTTAAGAAAATAATCTTTGCTTGACTTTAGTATCGATGCGAGTTGGTTGATCTTTAGGCTCGCAAAATGGGATGTCGAGTCAACAAAAATTAGCCAAATGAACTGTTTGCGTAAACTCTATTCACCATTTGAAGAGATCAACCATTGATCTGTCTTCCGCTAAGTCGAAACATTTCGCTATAGGTTGTCCAACAAGTCGTGCTCCTCTCCAAATTTGGTTTCTCCCGCCATATCTGGATTGTTGAAGTGTCCTGTACAATCTTAACCAAAAGGTTCCAAATAGTGTAGAAAAATAGCTTTCGAAGATACACACCATGATATACAAACCTGGAATATCGGAGGAAAAATTTAGCAAATGAAACAACGCTGCTTGAAAAGCGGACTGTTTAGAAGATGTCATGTCCAAGCAAAAGGCACGTCAATGGTTGATCTCTTTCAATAGAAAATTTAGCTTCGCCAGTTTGGCTGATTTCCACTACTCGACTTCTCTATTTTGCCGTTTTGAATTCAACTCAATCACAACGAGTGTAGCAATGTATAGTATATATGTAACCTTTTAGAGAAGATAAATCCCATCCGAATAGTGTATGGAATGGCGTAAAAAGATAGAATATCTGAAAATCCTTTATTTGAATGAAAACAGCATTACTTTCTGTCTTTCTGTTTTCTTAATCTAGCATTTTGCTTGTGAATTCTTGAGTATTACCTTTTTTGCAATTCGTGAACCAATTGTTTAGGACCACTTGGTATGTTTTCTAGCTGGAACGCTAGCTTTAGGCAGCAAGAATGGTGCACCTGATGAGCACATGAAGTTGGCACAAGTTGGTTTGCTTTTACTTTAGATCATTCAACCAGTTTAAAGTTCAAGGTAATTTTGGAATGGCCGTGTATGTGGGCGATTTAGGATTTAGGAAAAGCGTGCCAAGCTATGTACAAAAACCCAACTGGTCTTGGCCCGGAAATTGCTTATTTCAACATGATGCCCGGTGTTAAAGACGATCTGAGCATTAAGGTACTATTCGAGGTTTTAGTATTGTAGTTTGATTTTATATTCCTGTACACCCATTTAGCCGCTTGACGCGCACTCGCTGTTGAGACCAGAAGCAATTGAGGCTTGGTTCTATCTCTATCGGTTGACAGGTTTGTCCGTTATCTTCACTACTTCTTGGACTCTGACGTATATATTCTTTTAGGAGATAAAACATATCAGAATTGGGGCTGGGAAGCCTTCACAGCGATTGAGAAATATGCCCGAGTGAATAATGGATACTCATCGGTAAAAAGCGTCAAGAGGATACCAGTTACGCATAGGTTGGGATAACACCTTCAGAAATCCTCTATAAGTTGATACACGGTGGTGCTTTCAGTGACCTAATGGAGTCTTTCTTCCTAGCAGAAACACTCAAATATCTCTACCTTTTATTTGCTGATGATCAAACGAGCCTGTTCCCACTGGACAAGTGGGTATTCAACACTGAAGCGCATCCTCTTCCGATATATTCTAGCTGATCACCGCTATGAGTGGCATCAATGCGATCTACCTGAATTGTTAGATATCCTAGGAAATACTCCTCAGAGTTTTATGAGCTTCATCAACTCTTGCTGTCTGCTTAAAATGACGTTCAATTGGAGATGAAAAGGACACTTAAGTTCATTGTAATTCGACGAATTCGAACTTGAAAATTTCTGACTATTTTTAGTCAAAAAAACCTTTAAAGTTGTGTGTGACGAGTCGTTTGAAAAGTAGTGTCATTTTGGAACGTTTGGTTTTGTGTAATCACTTGGCACTGCCTTTGGAAGACTCTAGGAAGCCTTTCTTTCTATTATGTTAACTAATGATAAGTCTTAGTTCAACTGCAGAAATGGCCAGTTTCTTTTACTCTGTTCTGTATTTGAGAAAGCCTTTGCTTCATTCACAATATTAATCTTAGGAAAAATTGATCAGGGAATTTGTTGTTTTGGTATTGCCTTCATTTCTGGGGCCGTTCCTTTCTATGATCTGAAAATGGATTCTATATTTGAAATTTTATCTGAAGTTTGCATGGAAGTGTGTAATACAGTTAAGTGGTAAACTTTGCTATTTTTGGGTCAAGTTGTCGCTGTTGATGGACCAAAAGTGTGTAAGGGCATTGTTGTACATTTGACTTGCTTCATTTCTGGCTTTCAGTTTTAGTCTAGTCGATTTTATTTCATTGCTAAATGCTTTCTTAAAAGCTGTTGTATTTCATTCAGTGAGTTATACTGGTAGCGGTTTCAATTTGCCTTGTAATGATGAGCTAGCCGATGATTCACTGTAGTATTTGCATTATCTGTTATTCACTGATGACTACTATTGTCAGCTTATTCGAAGTGCATCGTTTTACGGTGCATTGGTACTGCACAGTTGTATTGTACGGTGTAAAGATTTGCGTGGTAGGTAAAACATTCCATTCGATGTCTATCTGGCGTAGTCCGTTGTTGGCATTGCTATATAGTTTTTCAAGAAAAATAAATATTTTTACGTTACGTTTGCAAGATGGTTTGAGATTCTTTTAAGACACTGTAAGATCTCAAGAACGTCCAGCGGACCAGTTAGTGAGTACAACTGGGGCAACAGCACGCACTTGCAGCTTTGTCCCATGTTCATCGATCGCTTAGCCCATACAGTCTGTTATTGGTGATTCTAGCCCTTCATTCAAGTTCGTTGCACTTTCGAACAGCGGCAACCAGGGTCGGCAAGCTTTGGGAAAGGCTCAGCGAGGGGATGCTTTTGTTGAAAAGGGCACTGAATTTTTGGCAGAGATGAGAGAACGGCTTTGAGGCCGGAGAACTCTCGAATTTTGTTTTTTGAAATTGTTCGGAAGTTAGCAGTTTTCCAGTCTCGGAAGTTAATAGCTATTTCGTAGCTAGGTTCACGGGTTTTCTGGAATGGTTGGTAGGGTGTCCCCCAAGAGGCCCATCGCGCGGCGAAGGAAGAGACGCAGATGCGGCAAAGGACGAGTCGCAGCGCGTGCTGTGCGATATGAGACGTAGTATGGTACACTCTATTTAACCTGACGCCTAACCGCTACAGTATGCGCTGCGACTCGTCCTTTGCCGCGTCTGCGTCTCTTCCTTCGCCGCGCGATGGGCCTCTTGGGGACACCCGGTTGGTAGGTTCAGCTAGAAGTGGGAAAGATGTAGATAAGGCTGGTGCGAGGATAGGCGAAGATGGTCATGCTCCAGAAAGGGGGGGGGGGGGTCGTGCATCACCCCAAATTGTTCCCAGTGGTTGCCCTGGAAGAAGTGGGTCAAGTTGTTAATGAGATTACTACCAAAAATGATTCAGACTTTTGTGATCAGGCCAATGAAAACCTATTCAAAAAATTTTGTACAAGAATACTGGATATCAATTTTTCGCAATGCACCAGAAAGGAGTGGCACATCTGTGATCAGAACCATAAATGATTAGTTAG